GAACCAAGATGCTCATGTAATGGTACAAGATCCCAATGATGAATGTAACTGTATTTTATACCTAAAATGTACCAATAAACTTAATGGGGAAAAAAGAAAAAAAAAGAATGTCATGTTTTGGGGAGGTTTGTAATTTTATTTTATTTTTGTTTGTTTATTTGTTTTTGGAGACAGAGTCTCACTATATAGTTCAGGCTGGCCTTGAACTCACTGTGTAGCCCAGGCTGGCCTTGAACTCATGGTGCTCCTCCTGCCTCAGCCTCTCCAGTACTGGGATTACAGGTGTGTACCATCATGCTTGGTCTGAGGTTTGCAATTTTACAGAAAGTGATTGGGGAGGCCTCATCAAGAAAGTGATTTTTTTTTGTTTTTTTTGTTTTGAATCTTTAAAAATCAAAGACTGATGAACAACCATCCATGAGTTCTGGAAGTTGAATAACAGGAAACTGTACTTGTTTTTCAAACCATTTGGCAAGTGTGTTTGTTTATTTTTTTTTGTTGTTTTGGTTGCTGGGAATCCAACCTATGGCCTTGTCCATGCTAGACAAATGCTTTATACTTAGCTATACCCCTAGCATCACAAGATATATTCCCTCTCTCAGGCTGGCATAAAACTCTAGATTTCTGCTTTCTCTTTAAAAAATGGAAGATTTGCTAAGCATGGTGGCACATGCCTGTAATCCCAGCACTCAGGAGGCTGAGGCAGGAGAATCACTATGAGTTCCATAGAGGGCTATAGAGTAAGTTCAAGACCAGCCTAAATTACGGAGTGAAACTGACTCAAAATAAAACAAAACAAAACAACAAAAAAAGCCCTCCCCCAAACCAAAACAACAAACAACAACAACAAAAAATCCAGGTGACTTGCCAAATGTGGTGGTGTATGCCTGTAATCCCAGCATTCTGAGAACCCTAGGCAGGAGGATCACTAGTTCACAAGTTTGAGCCTGGCCTAGGCAGTTTAGTTTCTTACTGTGACTCTGTCTCAAAATAAAAAAAGGATGGGAGAGGGCTGAAGATCTTCGTAGCTCAGGGAAAAGGCCCTGGGTTCAATCCCAGTACCACCAAAAACGGCATATTTGGCTACATTGGGCTGACTTGTCTTCATGGAGTGGAACAGTGACCATACTATTCAGGTGGGGTGTGAATTCTCTCTGTGCTCAGTCTCCTCCATTCCCAGACAGTGAAACACAATGTTAGTAGCTATTGTCATGTGCTGTCATGTGCTGTTAGTAGCTATTGTCTTGAGCTGTTATCCTCTTTTTTGTTTGTTTTTTGGTTTTGATACTGGAGATGAACTCAGGACCTTGGGCTGCTGTTATCTTCTTTTCTTTTTTTCTTTTTTTTTTTTTTTTGCTACCGGGTCCTTCCACTTGGAAGGCAGATGGCAGAACCAGTGAGCTAAATCCCTGGCCCCTGCTGTTATCTTCTTAATAAAGGGGAAAATAAAATGATTTTTGGCACCCACATTTCCACGAAGCAGAGAGAAAATTGAGATATCTGAAAATGGGAGTGTGCTTGATGAAAGATGCAGAAAGGCATATTTCTTTATGAAACTGAAAAATCTAATTTTTAAAATATGCTAACCAAAACATCTGAGATATAATATTTTAAACTCATTCCTTTATATTACCTGGCTGAACTTTGTAGGCATTTGAGTTTATGACACCTGTCCTGTATTTTATGTAGTTCTGTCACACCCATGATCATGGAGCCCCACCTCCTCTTTTGGTTACTATGTGCCGCCATAGAGGTCAGGAACTTTGTTTTCTCATCCTCCTTATTTTGCAAAGAGGGCAATGGATGCCTAGAAAGGTTAAGTAAACCCATCCAAGACCAGCTGGGAAGCAGTGACTTAGAACTGGGGAGAGGGTTTATTCCCTGGCCCTATGCTATTTCTATAATAGGACCGTACAGCCTTAGATCTTCTGTTACCTTTTAACTAAAGTCCCAAACGCAGTTCCCAAGTCCCTAAACCTATTTTAAAAGGGATAAAATGTATCTTATTTACTGTAGGCTACAGGTATGTAGCTAATTTAGCAGAATGTTGGTCAAGCAGTAAGGTTGTTGTCGGTTGTTTTAATAGCTCAGCATGTACTTTTTGGTCTTTCAGCTTTAGGTAATGACCAGTCCATCCTGATCCATCTAGCATCTAGTGCAGTGATTCTCAAGGGGAGGGGAAAGGACAATTTTACATTGCAACTAGACACCCTCACCCTGGGCATTTGGCAATGTCTAGAGACAACTTTTATTGTCACAGTGTGCATATGGGGTGCTTCTGGCATCTAATGGGTAGAGATCAAGCATGCTGATAAACATCTGTGACTCACAGGACAGCCCCAATAGTGAAGAATCATCCAGCCCAAAATGTCAACAAGCCAGGGCTGAGAACTCCGGTCTTTTTTTTTTTTTGTACCGGGGATCGAACTCAGGACCTTGTGCTTGGCCAGGCAGGCGCGGTGCCACTGAGCTACATCCCCAGGCACATCTGTTCTTTTAACAATGGCACAATCCCATTTCCTGCTGTCTAAAGATTTCTTAGTCATTTTGGGTCCCTGTATCATGTGGGCAGGTTTTGGGGTTAGAAAGGCTGGGTTCTGCCATTTTGTGCTTTTGGTGCACCGCAGGTATTCAAAAGATCTATACAATTGAAAAGGCTTTCAGCAGTTCAAAAACGTCTGAGGGTTTTGTGTTTTGTTTTGTTTTGTTTGGTGGCAGTACCGTTTTGCCATATTTCCCAATTGCCCAGGCTGGCCTCGAACTTGCCATCTTCCTGTGGCTTGTAGGCATGTGCCTCTGCGCAGGCAATCGTGAAGTTCTTCACCCTTATCTCCAAAATGGTGGATAAAAGCCCTCCACCGGAGCTGCTGTGAGAAATAACTACGAACCGGTAAAGGGCAAAGCACTTGGCCCCTAGTGGGCCTTTGACAAACTAGTTTTCCTTCTCTGTCTTGTTATTTTATTTTTTCCTCCTCCAAACAGTCCTTCGAATCTAGGTACAGCTTACTCGTTATGAGTGACCTTATGCAAGTCACTTTTCATTTGCAGGCCTCGATTGAGTCTCTGTAAAATTAGAAAGTTGGCCTCGGATCTCCAAGCATGCTTCCAACAACGCAATGGGACTGTGAAGTTTATCGGGCTACTTTCCTCCCCCGGGGTTGATGGTACGGTCCCCGGGCTGCTCCCCCACCCCTCTGTCGCGGACCTTGGTACAGGCCCAGGGGGCCCTCGTGGCCTCTCAGGGCTGCCCTTGCCCCCCGCCGAGTTCCGGGCCAGTCTTTGCTCAAGCTGGTTGGCTGGAGCGGTGCCCGGGCTGCGCCGCAATAGGTGAGCCTGGGAAGGGACGGGCGGGGCTGGACAACCGCCCCTCCCCCCTGGGGTCGGCAGCTGAGCGAAGCCGCGGGCGGGCGGACGGACCGACTGACGGGAGGGACAGGAGGCAGCAAGATGGCGCAGACTCAGGGCACCAGGAGGAAAGTCTGTTACTACTACGATGGTGAGCCCCGTCCTGGTGGCGGGGGCGGGGCCTGGCCGCCCCGATCGAGGAGAGCGAGGCCGAGGGGGTCGGAGAGAGGAGGCTGGGCACTGGGGAGAGGCTGAGGGAGGAGGCTGAGGCCGAGAGGGGTCGCGCGGAGGAAGCCTGAGGTGGTGTTGGTGGGGAGACTCTGACGCGAGTCTGATGGCGAGAGTTTGAGCGGGACTCCTGGAGGGGAGGCTGAGTCTGATGGAGACGATTGCAAGGATGAATTTCCCCCCTGGGAATACAAAGGTGTCTGTCTGTGTCCCATGCCATCCTGGTCGCTTTTGGAGTGAGCCCCGCAGGACTGGTCATCCGCTTCCCCTCCCCCAGGCTCTGAGCGGGGCCTGCAATTGCTGCTGGGAAATAGGGCCCCGGGCTGGAAAGAGAGGGATGCAACCTGTTCAGACAACTTTTCATGGAACAAAAGTTTATGGAGCAGTTTATTCTGTTGTAGGGGTTTAGGTGCTGGGGCCAGGGGCTCATCCAAGTCACGCTTCCTATTCAGCTCGCGGTCTGAAGGGGGAGCTAGGCAGCGTCAGAAGTACCCTGCGGTATTGAGGAATGAAGAGAGCTCCGTGTCGGGGAGCACGGAACAGAGGCACCCAACCCAGCCTAGGGTCAGGGAAGGAAGTGTCATCTCACTTAGGACCCGAAGAACAAGAATTATTAGCCGAGCAATAGAAGGGGAAGGTAACAGCAAGGTTAGAGGCGAGGGAGAGGACGGCACCTTTGAAAGACATCGGTATTTGTCCAGTGTGTATGCCTGAGGCATAGATTTGGGGGTCTGGTGTAGAAGGTGGGAGCAGGATAGAGGGAAGGGTTGTTAAGTGGTGAGACTTGAGAATTAAATAAGGACCAGATCACGAAGGGGTGGGCATGCTCTCCTGAGGAAGTTGGACTTTGTTATGAAGGCACTTGTGAATCATTGAAGTTTTATGTAGGCTTTATACTTTAGAAATATTATTCTGGGAAAGTAAATTAATGAATGTAGGGATAAGGAAGAAGACTTAAATCTAATGTTTCTGGTGTGGGTAGTTTCATAATGGGTGTTTGGAGAAAGCCATGTCAATTGATAACTTTGTGGGTTTTGTTTTTTGGTTTTGGGGGGTTTTTTGGTACCAGGGATCGAACTCAGGTCCTTGTGCTTTTGAGGCAGGCGAGGAACCACTGAGCTAAATCCCCGGCCCTTTGTTTTGTTTTTTGAGAGCAAGTTCACGTTATATGGTTCAGGCTGGCCTTGAACTCACTGTGTATTCCAGGCTGGCCTTGAGCTCATGGCGATCTTCCTGCCTCAGTCTCCCAAGTGCTAGGATCACAGGTGTGTGCCACCATGCCCAGTGATAACTTTGGATTTTACTTTTTTTTTTTTAGAAATACCTGTTGAGACGTTTATGGAAGATGTAATTAGAGGCCTCCAGTTTGCTGTCAACTGTTGAGGTCTACATTTTATTAGACAGATTTTTGGTAGTTGTCAGCATACAGGTAGAAATTTTAGTTTAGAAGAGAATGCTATCACTGAAGAAGTTGATAGGGTAGAAAGAGGATCTAAGGTAAAATTCTGGAAGTGGACTGAGGAAAAATCTAGTGGCCCCCATGGTCTGTATTTTTTGTCATAGCACTTGTCACTGGGTGTTGAAATTGTTCATTTGCTTGGTCACATTTTTTGCAGTCAGCCAGCTTCTCTTAGAGAGAGAACATGCCTTGTCTGCCTCTTTATCCCCAGTCCTAAAAATAGTGCCTAGTTCGTAGTAGGCTCTCAAATATTTAGTAATTAAATGAATAAAAGATATAGAGGAAGTGGTCCTGAGAGGTAAGTGAACCAGACAATGTCAGATTACAGAAGCCAAAGGAGGAGTGGGCAAAGTGTTGGCAAGGGTTGGGGTAGAATCTAGATTACAGTAGATTTCAGGATGAAGAGGAGAGAGCAGATTGAAATTTTTTTTTTTTGTACTGGGGATCGAACTCAGGACCTTATGCTTGTGAAGCAGGCAGCTAAATCCCCAGCCTTTGAAAATTTTTTTAGAAGAAGCTTTTATGAGGTAAGGAGAGAGAGTTGTTGATAAAGAAGAGATGTAGGGCCGGGGATTTAGCTCAGTGGTTCTGCCACCTGGCTCAAAAGCCCAAGTACCCGAGTTCCATCCCTGGTACCAAAAAGAAGAAGAGATGTAGTGGCTAAGAGTCGAGCATATTCCTTTTTTTTGAGATAGCGACCCACTACGTAGTTCAAGCTGGCCTTGAACTCACTAGGTAGGCTAGGCTGGCCTCAAACTTGTGATTCTCCTGTATCAGCCTCCTGAGTACTGAGATTATGGGCATGTGCCACCACACGGCACATGGCCAGAGTTGAGCATATTCAAATTCCTATGGAAAACAAATGAAAGAGAAATTGAAGATACAGGAAAGAGATTAGTAGTGATGGAGGCTCTGGAGGAGACCAGGTGGCATGGACACCAGAGCCCAGGTAGGAACACTAGCTTTCAAGAAGTTCCTTTGTGATGAGGAAGCAGGTGGCAAGGAAAAGTTCAAATGTAGATAAGTTGAAGGGAAGAAGGGCTGGACTAGCTCAGTAGTAGAGGCCTTGCCTAGCATGTGCAAGGCCTGGGTTCAATTCCCAGTACCTTAAAAAAAAAAAATGGAGTGGGTAAGAAGATGGGGAGAAAGTTGAAGGAGCGCTTAAAATGAAATAAGAGAATCTTCCTTTTCTTGAGAGGTGGAGGGAAGGCAGTTGCTGGAAAAGGAATCAGGAAGAGGCAATTTAATTAGCTGTTGTTAAAGAAGGAACTAGGGAAATAAGTTTAGAAAGATTGCTGGGCAGTGCAGGATCCATTTGAGGCTGAAACCTATGGGGGTTTTTTTGGTACTGAGGATTAAACTCAGGACCTCATGCTTGCCAGGCAGGTGCTATGCCGCTGAGCTAAATCTCCAGCCCATGAAACCTATGATTTTTGTACCCATGTCATTTTGGATAGTTTTATAATCTTGATGTTCCCAGTTTAAGAGAAGAAGAAGTGGATACAGGCATCATGGTGCATGCCTATAATCCCAGGCCTTGGGAGCTTGGGAAGATTGGAAGTTGAAGGCTAGCCTTGACTGTATGGTGAGTTCAAGGCCAGCTATGAACTGCATGGGAAGACCCTATTTTAAAAGAAGAAAAAGTGGAAGATCTCAGTCTTTAGAAAAGGGAATGGACTTTTTTGTTTTGTTTTGTTTTTTTGAGTCAAGGTTTCACTGTGTAGTTCAGGCTGGCCTTGAACTCATGGTGATCCTGTTGCCTCAGCCTCCCAAGTGCTGGTATCACAGGTGTGCACCACAACACCCAGCTTGGGAATAGACTTTTTTTTTTTTGGTACTGGGGATCGAACTCAGGCCCTTGAGCTTCCCCAGCAGGTGGCAAAACCACTGAGCCAAATCCCTGTCCCTCGGCAGTAGACTTCTTAAAATCTCTGAGTTTTGGGGCCAGGGATTTAGCTCAGTGGTGCCGCTGTCTACCTCACAAGCGCAAGGACCCGAGTTGGATCCATAGTACCAAGAAAAAAAAAAAACTCTGAGTCTTGCAGTTACTTGAGGTTACTTGGTACTCAGATTTGACTCTGCCACTCAAAAGTTTTGTAATATCGAGCAAGTCACTTTACCTTTCAGGTAATTTTACTATAAAACTAAAATGGTGATTTAAAAAATTAATAACAGTTTCTATAAGAACAGTGATGGGAGGAAAGTTTTTTGTTTTTCAGACAACATATCACTATGTAGTTCAGGCTGACCTTGAATTTGTGGTGATCCTCCCGCCTCAGCTTCCCAAGTGGGATTACAGATGTGTGCCACCAAGCCCAGCACTGGAAAGATCTTTAAAGTAGCAGGCTGGGGGTATAGTACAATAGTAGAGTGCTTGTCTAGCATGTGCAAAGTCCTAGGTTCAATCCTCAGCACTGAAAAAAAAAAGTTCGAAGTAGTATCTAAATGGAAGGAGGGCCAGGGATTTAGCTCAGTGACACCACACCTGCCTCACAAATGCAAGGTCCTGAGTTTGATCTGTGGTACCAGAAATAAATAGATAAATGCAAGGAATTATTCCTTTTAAAGTCTCAGGAACCCAATTAAAAACTCTTAAGAAAAGGAACCCACTTGTTAGCTTTTTAGATAAGGTATCTTAGTTCCTCAGGTCTGAGCCTTGGCTGGGTCCAGGCTTGACAGGCAAAGGAGTACTAGAGATCAAGGGCTATCCCTTTTTTCCACCAGGTGCTAAACCTCTACCTCATCTTGGAGGCCTTTTTTTTTTAAAAAAAAAAAATTATTATCTGTAGATATAACATTTATTTATTTATTTTTGGTTTTTTTGAAGCAAGGTCTCACTATGTAGCCCAGGCTGGCCTTGAACTCACTACGTAGTCCAAGCTGGCCTCGAATTTGCAGCAATCTTCCTGCCTCAGCCTTCCAAGTGCTGGGATTACAGGTGTGTGCCACCATGCTCAGCTTGAAAAGACTGTGAATCTTGATCAAGAAAAGGTTTTAGCTGTAATCCCACCATCCTGGGAGGCTGAGGCAGGAGGATCACAGGTTCAGGCCCAGCCTAGCCAATTTAGTAAGACCCTGTTTCAAAATAAAAAAGGCCTGGAGATGTACCTCTTTGCAATAAAAGGATGAAGACAAATCAATCCAATAATTGTTCCAAACAAAAGCCCTAGAAAAGGGCTTGTTAAGGTGGCAGAGCCCGGTAATTGCATAAAACTTAAAACTTTACCATCAGAGGTTCAACTCCTCTCCTTAACAACTAATGCACATCATCAACACACTACTACTCCTAATCCCAATTCTATTAGCAATGGCATACCTCACACTAATAGAACGAAAACTCCTGGGCTATATACAATTACGAAAAGGCCCCAACATCGTTGGCCCATACGGAATCCTCCAACCAATCGCCGACGCCCTAAAACTATTTATTAAAGAACCATTAAAACCATCGGCCTCATCCATCTCACTATTTATCATCGCCCCTATGCTCGCCCTGACCCTAGCCCTATCCTCAATTCCCAGGATTGTAAAGGAGGGGAGGATATGTTGGAGAGTGAGCTGGGGATTGTAGTGTGAGGATTATCAGGGAAGAAAATATTCCAGGTCCAGGGAACATTCTGGACTAAGAATATTTTGTCATGAAGCCGAATGCCATGTTCAGGATGTTGATAGTCTGGTGTGTCTAGTCTGGTAAACATTTTCTGTGAAGGGCCAAGTAGTAAATGTTTTAGGCTTTATTTTACCATCTGGGTCTCTGTGGCAATTGCTTTATTGAGCTCTGCCATTGTGGTACGAAAACTGCCATGGGTGTGCATAGATTAAAGGGCATGGATATTTCCTATTGGCCATGCCTATTTATACAAATAGGCAGCTAGTTCTATTTGCTTTAGTCTGGGGCAAAGAGTGAGAATAAACGTGTCTGTACTGAGGGAAAGTTTAAGGGTAGTAATAGCAGGAGATAAAGCAGAAAGGTAGGTTAAACAACTCTGTGGGGCAGCCTGCTAAAGTTATTCTTCACTCCTTTTCCTGTAGGAAATATGGAGCTGTTAGGGTTTTTGAGCAGGGGAGTGATGTTATTTGAATTGTGGATTATGAAAATAACTGGCAGGGTGTGTTGGTGCTCGCCTATAATCCCGGCACTTGGGAGGCTGAGGCAGAAGGATTGCTGTGAGTTCAAGGCCAGCCTCCACTACATAGTTCAATGTCAGCCTGAACTACATAGCAAGACCCTATCTCAAAAAACACCAAAAAGGGTCAGGGATTTAGTTCAGTGGTTCCACCGCCTGCCTCGAAAGCAGAAGATCCCGAGGTGCCACCGCCTGCCTTGCAAGCACAAGGTCCCGAGTTCGATCCCCGGTACCAAAAAACAAAACAAAACTGTAGCTTATAATAATTCTGAGTAGTGATGGTTTTCTATTTTGGGAAGGAATTTCTTGGAGGAATAGTGAGGTGGCTGCTGGCTGCTATTTCCCGGTAGCTTTGGAATAAACCCCTCATCCTCTCTAGTGCCTATGACTCAACCTTAAGTGCTGACCTCACTAGGGTTCCTTGCTTTTAGTTTTGTTTCTTCTGTAATTACCATTCCTCAAAGTGGGAGAGAATCTTGGAAACTAGAAATGAGCTAGAAAGAAGTTTGCCTGGGAGTTTGCTGTAAAAATTCCTGGGCTCTCCTGGGAATGTGTGTCTCTGTTACTGAAGCTGTCACTCTTCTGCAGGGGATGTTGGAAATTACTATTATGGACAAGGCCACCCAATGAAGCCTCACCGAATCCGCATGACTCACAATTTGCTGCTGAACTATGGTCTCTACCGAAAGATGGAAATCTATGTGAGTTACTAGAGGCACTACCCCTTCCCTACCTCATCAGCTCAAGTTCCTCATGTGTTTTTCTTTTTTTGGTACTGGGGATCGAACTCGGGTCCTTGGGCTTGCGCAGCAGGCAGCGAAACCACCGAGCTAAATCCCCGGCCCCTCTCATGTGTTTTTCATTATTTCACTTTTTTAACTACTCATTCACTGAGTTGAATGTGTTGAGTGGCTCTGTAGCAAGTACAGTACATGTTTTTATGGATTTATTCTAGGCTGAGACCCACATGTAAGTAAGTAAAGTATACTACCGTGTGTACATGCAACAATTAAAGAATGTATAGATGCAGAGATAATGAGCAAAGACCAAGGGAACTGTGGACTGTTTCCTAGAGGTGATATCTAAGGAGGGTTTTAAAGATTGAATAGAATTTAGTCTGGGTTACAAGAAGGAACTAGCATTCTAGGCCAAGGGAAGAACATGGGCAAAAAGTTTGAGGTAAGAAAAATAAGGTGTTTGGGGAAAATATGAGCGTCTTGTTGAGCAGGTCCAGAGTATAAGTGCCAGGAGACAGAGGTGGAGAGGTCAGCAGGAATTGGATGTGGTGTACTAAGCAGCCCTGGTGGGCCAGAGTCAAACCCAGTGGCCCCCACAAAAAAAAACAACAAAAACAGGAATGACTGAGACTGTGTTGAACTGGATGCCAGCTAGTTACCAGGGAGCTTAGACTCTGACCAACTTCTTGACTCAGCTCCAGCTGATCCCCCCCACCTCAGTACCAGGGATTGAACTCAGGACCTTGTGCTTGCAAGGTAGGCATGGTGCCACTGAGCTAAATCCTCAGCCCTCCAGCTGATTTTTGCTTGATCTTCGGGTTGTTTTGTTTTCCCTGTAGTACTAGGGATTGAACCCCAAGCTTTCACACTGAGCTACATCCCCAGCACTTTTATTATTTTTTGAGACAGAGTCTTAAATCACTGAGTTTGAACTTGGAATCCTCCTGCCTCAGGCTCCCACAGTGCTGGGAATAAAAGGATATGCCACCACACCCAGCTCCATCTTCCAGGTTTTGTTTTGTTTTTGAGATGGGGCCTTGGATATATCCCAGAGTGGCCTTGAACTGACAATCCTCCTTCCTCAGTCTGCTGAGTGCTGGAATAAGTGTGTGCTACCACACCCAGCCCATATTCTCTTTTTTTTTTTGGCACCGGGGATTGAACTCAGGACCTTGTATTTGCCAGGCAGGCGCCAGAACCACTGAGCTAAATTCCCAGCCCCACCCCACCCCCCTTTTCTTTTTTTTTTTTTTTTGGTTTTTTGAGGTAGGGACTCCCTTTGTAGTTTGGGCTGGCCCTGAACTCACTATGAGGGCCAGGCTGGTCTAGAACTCCTGGCAATCCTCCCTGGCTCAGCCTCCCCAGTGCTAGGATTACAGGTGTGGGCCACCACATCCGGCTACTATATTTTCATCTAAAACTGGAAGATCAGTCAGTGTGAGGTAGATAAGAGGATCACCATCAGTTCAAGGCCCTGTCTCAAATAAAAAAAAAAAAAAAAGAGAGAGAATCTGGATATGTAGCTCAAGTCTCCCAGTGTTAATGTTGAATCAAGGTTTTAATTTTTTTTAGCTTGGGTTTAAACCAAACAAGTAAGTATCTACATGGACTAAATTTGGTCCAGTCATTCCCAGTTTAACCTCTTCTGGAGGTAGTGAGGAGCAAGTGAAAAGTTTTAAATGAAAGGAAGATAGGAACTGGCATGTATTTTAGAAGCAGAGAGGCCAGTCAGGAGGCTGTTGCAAGAGTCCAAATGAGAAAATAAAGAGGGACTTAGGGCCTGTGTTGTCTTATAGTGTAAGAGTGTGTTGTTAAAGTCTGTGGCAATAGCTTGAGTAACCTAGCAACAGCAGGATCCTTCTCACCATCCCAAGACTAAAAGGAGATGAATCTTCTGCCCCAGAAGGCCTGTCATGTCTCTGGAGCTAATGGTAGCACCTGGGGAAGCAAGGAGGAAGTAGAGGAGCAGACAGACCATTTGAATAGATAGCTTTTTTTTTTTTTGGTACCGGGGATCTAACTCTGGTCCTTGTGCTTGCCCAGCAAGTGGCAGAACCACTGAGCTAAATCCCTGGCCCTGAGCAGATAGCTTTTTAACGCTTGAAGGGCAGCTGGGAATGAAGAACATGAGGTTTTCTGGGGATCTCCTCCTTTATTAAAAAAAAACAAAAAACTTTTCCTAGAAGCTTCCCACCAGACCTTTCCTTGCATCCCTTGGGTGATTTGCTGTCCTTAGACAGACTGTCAGTGTAGGCAGATAGGATTACTAGAACTGGCTTGGACTAATTATGATTTGATCCCTGGGGATCCGTTGCCAAGAGAATGGCTCTTTGGGCAGCAACTGAGTGTGGCTGCACAGGAGAAAATACCTTTTTTTGTGGAGGGTCAGTACTGGGCATTCAACCCAGGAACCTCAAACTGGGCTACATCCAAGGCTTTTTAAGAATGTCTTTTAAGGGGTCGGGGATTTAGCTCAGTGGTTTCGCCGCCTGCTGTGCAAGCGCAAGGACCTGAGTTCAATCCCCGGCACCAAAAATAAATAAATAAATGAATGAATAAACAAATAAATAAATAAAATTTTTAAAAATGAATGTTTTTTAAAATTTTTGAGACAGAGCCATGCTAAGTTGCTCAGGCAGCCCTCCAACTCTCCTGCCTCATTCTCCTTCCGTGCTGGGATTATAGGCGTGTATGTCACTGCACTTGGCAAGAGAATATCTCATGAGAGATGGCTTCATTTTTAGGCTGTTCTTTTCTTTTGGTTTTTTGAGCAAGGTTCTTGGTGTGTAGTTCAGGCTGGTCTTGAACTCACTATACAGCCCAGGCAGGTTTTGAATTTGAATCCTGCCTCAGCCTCCAGAGTTCTGGGACTACAGGTGTGTGCCACCATGGCCAGCTTATGGTGTTCTTATTCTTTTTTTTTTTTTTTTTTTGGTGTTCTTATTCTTACTGTAAACTCCTAAAGCAGAACCTCAGTACAATCTCTTCTCAGCTCTCTAGACCTTGTTCTTTCCTCTTCCTTCCCTCCTTCCTCCTTTTTTTGAGTCAGGCTCTTACTATGTAGTTCAGGCTGGCCTTGAACTCACTGTATAGCCCAGACTGGCCTCGGACTTGCAGCGATCCTCCTGCCTTAGCCTCATGAGTGCTGGAATTTCAGGTGTGGACTACCATGCCCAGCTGAAAAAAATTTTTGTTTTTATTCTGGGGATTGAACTCAGGACCTTCTGCTTGTGAGCCAGGTGGTGGAACCACTGAGCTACATCCCCGGCCCTTGAAAGAATTTTTTATGAGACATATAAGGTACAAAGACACAATTCAATCAATACTACCTAATTTAAGGAAAAATTTTATATTAACTGCTGAAGTCACTTTATGCCTTTTGTTGATCCTTCTCACCCAGAGTTCACTCAGCCCTGAATTTGGAATTCATCATCATCTTCCTTTTCTTTATTTCTTTTCTTTCTTTTTTTTGGAACTGGGGATTGAACTTGGGTCCTTGCGCTTGCCAGGCAAATGGCAACACCACTGCGCTAAATCCTGGCCCCTTCCTTTTCTTTATAATTTTATGTATGTGTATTCTTTAACAAATTTTTTTTTTGAGACAGCGTCTCACTATGTATTCCAGACTGGCCTTGAATTCGCAGTGATTCTCCTGTCTCAGCCTCCCTGGTGCTAGGATTACAGGCATATACCACCATGCTCAGCATGTTTTGGTTTTATATGCTGAAATGTTAAATAAATGGAGCCATAGTGTTTTTTTTCTTTTTTTTTCTTCAGTAACAGGGATTGAATCCAAGGCCTTTGCACTGAACTAAGTCTCACTAAGGCCTCACTAAGTCATTTAGTACCCCAGACTGAACTCTCATGATCCCTATGCTGCAGCATCCCAGAGTGCTTGGACTGTAAGCATACACCTTTTTTTTTTGGTACTAGGGATTGAACTCCGGACCTTGCGCTTGTGAGGCAGGCGGTGGCACCACTGAGCTATATCCCTGGCACTTGATATTCTCTTCTTTATCCT